GTGAGACATCACTTCCCTCTCAGTGTTACAATTTTCGGCAGTAGTGAACACATGGCTCTGAAGTTAGGTCCGCGGAGATTCATTTATCCTTCTGATCCACGTTATGCAGAAGAACTGAAAAAAATTCTAGACGAATTTGGAAGTGATTTTAGTGAAGAAGATGACTGTGAAGAAAATTTCTGTGAAAGGGTGCCTACTCAACAGACTCTGAATTTTCTGCAGACAGCAATGATTTCTCTGATCTAGAAACAACTAATTCCGTAAAATACTACCATGGAAAAAAATCGGTTCAAATGGTCATCCGTTGAACCAAATCGAAAAGTTAGAAGGCCAGCTCACAATATCGTAAGACTTCCTGGACTAAGACCTTACGGAAAAATTGATAATTCAGACCAAAAAAATGTATGGCAACTACTTTTTACTGACGAACTTTTAAGCATAATTGTGAAATGGACAAATCTAAAAATTGAAAGAAAAATAAAAAATATATGTGGTCCGATTAAAGGTGAAATTGACTACACCTGTGTTGATGAACTGAGAGCTCTTTTGGGTTTACTTATTTACACATCAGTCTTCAAATCCAATCATGAAGATATTGAATGTTTATTTGCCACGGATGGAACTGGCCGCAATATTTTTCGTGCAGTTATGTCAATGAAACGTTTTAAATTTTTACTTTCAAATTTGCGATTTGATAACCCAGATGATAGGGAAGAACGAAAGAAATCTGATCCGGCAGTACTTATTTCTGAAGTGATGAATTTATTCATTTATAACTCCCAGAAAGCGTACACATTAGGCACTTGCGTCTGCATTGATGAAATGCTTGTTGGATTCAGAGGAAAGTGTCGCTTTAAAATGTATATGCCCCAAAAGCCTGTGAAATATGGATTAAAAGTTATGTGTTTGACTGATGCCCAGAATAATTATGCTTACAATGCATATCTTTATTGTGGAAAAGACTCTGATGGAATTAGCGTAGAAGAGAGTTGGAAAAAATTCAGCAAACCAAGTCAAGCTGTTCTGCGTTTGAGCAAACCAATTTTTAATACGAACTGGAATGTAACAGCAGACAATTGGTTTTCTTCCACAGAACTTACCACAGAATTGTTGAAAAATGGACTGACATATGTTGGAACTGTTAAAAAAAATAAAAAAGAAATTCTGAGAGATTATCTTCCATGTACTAAGTCAAGAAAAGAGAATTCAACATTGTATGGATTTACTAAGGACATAACCTTGATTTCATTTGTTCCAAAGAAAAGGCGAGCAGTGGTTTTGATGTCCTCATTGCATCATCCGATAGAAAAAGACTCGGAAACACAGAAACCTGAAATAATTGCTTTTTATAACAGAACCAAAGGTAGTGTTGATGGTTTAGATGAAAAATGTTCTGTCCATATCTGTAGTACGAGAACAACGTGTTGGCCTATGGCTCTTTTCTACCGGTTAGTAGATATGAGTAAACGCATACATTTTGCACCAAGGTTATAACCAAAACCCTGTTATGACCAGAATGTGTTTTTGAAAGAATTAGTCCAACCACTACTACACACGAGAGTGAAAAATCCAAGAATAAATCGAGAATTGTGCCTGACGATAAAGCGGATTTTAGGAAAAGAAGCTGAGTCTGCACAAAAGAAGCTGATAAGGTGGAGCAGTGCACAAAAGAAGCAAAATTAAAATCAAGGAAAACATGTTCGTCTGTGCCCCCCAAGCAAGAAAAGAAAGACAGCATATTTATGTTTATCTTTGCCAAGACCCTGTTTGTTTGGAATGCACGCAAAAGTTATGCAATGAATGTGCTAAAGAAGACGAAAACTAAATTGTTTACCATCAGATAATCAGTGAGATACTGATATTTCAGGCTCTGTCAAAATTTTTCTGTATTGTGCTACATACAATTTTCTCCAGTTAAAATTTGCTTTAAATATTAAATAATATAGATAAAATAGTTAATTCAAAATAGAAGCATTCTTATTTTTAGTTTTATAGAATTTAGTGCAGCATATGATTTTCATCAAAAAATTTAAGGCTATGGGGAAATTTTCTGGAAAAAATTTAATTTCACTTTAAAGTGTAAAAACATATTTCTTTCCAGAGTAAAATGTTCAAAGAACATCTAAGTGAAATATCATGATGATATTTTAATTAGACGATTTTTAAAAAATTATTATAATGCGCGGTCTCTGAGACTGCACGTCCCCTGTTATGTTCAACTTTTTTACCTCCCCTGTTACGGGTTAAATTACCAAAAATTACTTTGCCAACGTTTTCGGGTAACTTACATGAGTGGCTTTCGTTTAAAAATATCTTTTTAGCCAGTGTTGATTCAAATCCTAATTTAACAGATGCAGTCAAATTACAGTATTTAAAATCTGTGCTAAGAAGAGATGCTTATCGTATTGTGGAGTCAATATCCATATTTGACTCTAATTATAAATTAGCCTTTTCATTACTAGAAGAAAGGTTCTCTAATCACCGCGACCAAGCGTATGCTCATCTGAAACGATTTATAAATATGCATCCTATGCAAAATGAGTCTGCATCAGCAATATTAAACTTAATTGACATTACAAATGAATGCGTGAGATCATTAGAAGTTTTAAATCAGAGTGTTAAAGGGTTTTCTTCCAATGTTTTACATGTTCCATACACTTTAGGGCAAAAATTAGATATAATATGATGGGAAAGAAAATTAGAGAATTACTGAAGATAGCACCTCTCATTTCAATTCTTGGAGAATTTATAGAAATCTTGTCAATGTGGTGTGAGATATATACGACAAACTCAAATAATGGTAAAATTTTGAATCAGGGAACACAAATTTTGTGTCGAAAGAGGAGAAATCATGTAATCTTTCATAGTTAATTATAAGTGGACACTAAATCATGGTTTTAATTTCAGTTCTGGAAAAATTATCCAGAAAGCTTCTTTCAAAAAGTTATTAAATTTTTGTGAATATAGAAAGCTTCAATGAAATCTATTTTCTTTAGGTAATGACATCGATTCCAACACAGTATTTCTAATGTTTTCGGAGTTTTTCAAACTTCCTTGCTCTTTTCACCAAAAGATGGCATTACGTACATGTTTGCATTGTTCTCAATAGAAATGTTGTTGTCACTCTTCCAATTTTGTAAAATTTTTCTTGGTCCCAAGTAATGATCACCCTTGAAATAGTTTTCCTCTAAATCTAAGCAAACTAAGAATGCTGTTTAGTCCGATTTAAATTTTTATCAGCAGTTTATTAGCAATTAATTCATCTACTCAATGTCTTCGTAGAGGCATAACAAATGCCTACTTGTGCAGAATAAATCCTAAACTAAGCAAATAAATTGCCTTTTACCTAAACAATGAATTTTCCAAATTGAAACCCAAGCATTTGTTTTTAAGCTCAGAATTTGCAATATGTACTGAGCTTTTTAAGTCAGCATATTCCAACCAATACAACAACTGATAGTGTAAGATAACATAAAGAATATTTTAACAAACTTTAAGAAACTTGAAAGTGACCATGCAGGTAGAGAAAGATGAGTGTAAAATGTCTTCCCATCAATATATATGTTCTTGAATATATGTATGCTTGTATGTAAATTGAGCTTTAATGTTAGCTCGCAGTTAATGCTGCACTTCCAAAACATGCTCTCTTAGATTTATAACAATGTGAATTAGCACATTCACAACTACTAGGGCTTAATTTTTAAGCCTTATGTAAGGCCCTTGTGAAAAATGAAAAAATAAGCCAATTTATAAATCAATATTAAAACTTGAACAGGAATAAAAATATATCAGAACTTTAACAAATAACAATAGAACCAATAAGACAAGTAAACTGATTGCAAGAAATAGTACAAGAGTAAAAGAGCAGCTAAAACAGTATTTTTTTACAGTCAGATAAAATTGTTATAACATTTTGATGTCTGTTTGGCCAAACAGAAAAGCACTGCACAATACATTTCATATATTTTGGTTCATATATTTCAGTTCTTTGAAAAAGCTTTTGAAAGACCTTACATGGAATTTTCTTTATCTTGAAATAACTCTTCATAGTCTATGCAAGTGACATTTTAATCAGCAAGTTTTCATTCTTCAATTAAATATTTTATGTTTGTAAACTATCCTGAACATGGTTCTGAATAGGGAAGAAATGTATCACACTTTTCATCCCACACACATTTACATTATAAAAGACTGTCAAAAGCACTAGCAACATCTCAGTGAGAACTCCCGATGGAAGCCAAATATTTGAGTGAAATTTGTACCAATTAAAACCATACTCTTGCTGTACTTTCCCCAAAAGGTAATGTTAACAGCTTTGTTTACAAGTTGAAGCTTTGAGATCTTGAGTTACAATGACAAATACTTTTTAAAACCTCATAAATTACCATCCAGAAAATATTCCTAATACTCGGTGAAAACTTATATTTAATGCAAAATGAAAATTACAGAAGAATTTTAAAAAATTTAATTTTTCTGCATGATTTGCTAATAAAAACAAATAAAACTGCAATCTGAAATTAACCTATTCTTCCACTTATTACCTTATTTATCTATTGTGATACATGTTTTACAACACCATATCTCATTCAGAAATTTCAGACTTATATTTAAAAACATTTCAGTCTTTCATTCAATTCAGAAACTGAAAAACTTTCATTATATTAAGGCAGAGGTTTATAAATATCTGCTTCCAGCAAAAAAACAAGTTTCACATTTGATTCACTTGACAATGAGAAAAATTCCTCCCTCCCCGCCCCCCCAAAAAAGCTACCATAAAAATTAGAACATTTCCATAAAATTATAATCATTCTGTAGAAACATTCAAATTTAAATTTATTACAGTTACAAAAGGGAAAAATTCAGTTTCAAAGTTACAAATAATAATTCAATAAATCTACAAAATGCTGATGATATTTTGGAATCCCCTCTGTATTAACAGTAAAGTAAATGCACAAATTTACATTTCCACTGTAAAAGTTAACAGAAAAATCAACATTTACCTCAACTTCTTTTAAATACGAATAAATATCAGCTTTGTAAGGTGAGCACCACAGTAAAGAATACACCTTGTCTTCTGTTTTCGCACCATTTGCTTCATTAGATGATTCTAGAAATAAAATGCCAGAATGACATATTTAATCTTATAAGTTCAAAGCTGCAGCAAAAACATTAATTTTGACAGATTAGAAAAATCTTAAACACTATTAAAGAACGTGTTTGTTAAACTTAGTTAAGGAGTTTGCACAAATATGCCAGTTGTAATATATTTAATTGGCTCTCTGTGTATAGGTGGATAGGTGATCATAAAGTGCAAACCATATAACAAAAGCTTTTAATTAAAAAAAAAAAAACTTTATTCTTAACTGATAAATTGTTGCATATTTTTGTATCTATATATAGCTATATATCTGAATTTAATAAACATTCTCTGTTCGTATACAGAAAATTGAAATTTTAATTGCATACAAATAAATGATTAATTATTGCTGCAAACTAATTTACAATATCATTTAAATTCTCAGAGCATATGTAAATTAAGTGCAAAATGTTTTAAACTACATTATTATTTTGATTCTTAGTCAATTTGTTTCCTAAATTTCTCAAAATTCCTTTTGTTTAAAAATTTTTAGTAATTCACTACTGATTTACGTTTGGTTTTGAATATTATTTTACCCATGCCTATATGGATGACGAAACATGAATTGAGTAATTGAAGAGTTAAATTTACAGGCAACTTCCCTTTTATAAGATTTGACTCCTAACTGCTCAACAATTATTCACTAATGCAAATTTAGTCTTAATTTTTTTTAGGATTAATTTTTTGGAATATTATATATTTATTCATGGTTTTAGATATGTTTAATTAACATATGCTCTCAGAATTTAAATGATATTGTAAATTAATTCACAGCAATAATTAATCATTTATTTGTATGCAATTAAAATTTCATAATTTTAATTGTATTTAACTTTAAATTTGCTTTATACGAATACAGAATGTTGGTTAAATTCAAATTTCATTCCTTGCAGCAATGGCACAAGTGAATATTTAAATTTAACTTAACTTTTCTATTTATTCTTACAGCTATATATCTATACACATGCACGTATATCTAGTTTAAAACCTAATCCAGTTGTGCACTGACAGCAGCAACAAGTGGTGGTAATCATTCAAAATAAAAAATACCTTTGAAATTCCTCCCATACTCAGTTTGGAATAAACCACATGCAGATAACAAAAAATAGAAGCATACTGGCAAACTTTAAGAAACAGGGGAAACAAAACCCAAAATGAAAAATGATATTTACATCAGGGTTGCCACTCAAACAGGAGAATGAAATTCCCTGACTTTTCCAGGTTTTCCAGGTATGTTTCGAGAAAATTCCAGTCTATCCGTGTAATGTACGTTGGCTGTGCTAAGAGGTAAATTAATTATGGTATTACTTGTACTGTGTAGCAAATTCACTTAATTATTCAATAAATCCCAGAGGACATTTATTCTTAATTATTCTTGGTACACTTTGTTTGATAATTTTGTTTACATTTCCGCTTAAAAAACTTAATAAAATTTAAGATATATACATTGGATAACCAACTGTACGTTTTATTTAATTATTACTCATGATCATCCCCAGTTCAACACGAGGCTAGTCCGGTTCTTATAAATCACAACGCAATGTTAAAGTTAAGTTAGATTTTAGGTAAATTTAATTTGTGTGAGGTGTATTCTTAAAAGGCACCTTAACAGTTGAAAACACAAATATAATTATAATACGAGTTGTTTTCTCCACTGAAGATTGAGATTAGAATCTGCCCAATCTGGAATAAAATAAGGCTTTTTTTTGCAGACATTCTGCAGCTAAACGAAAGAAAGAAATCTATTTAATGATATTTTTTTACTAAATTGAGGTATTTTATATTTATTTCGCAGCATACATAAGGAAAAAATATGTGCATTAAATTTCGTGATGTCATCATACTGCTAGAATTAATTTCAGGATTATGCCAGAGAAAAATTTCCTGAAATTTGGAAATATTATTTACTAATGATACATAAATTTAGAGGGAAGAAGCAACATTAAATGATATGAATAACATAAAAATAAAGATAATTACTTTAAAATTTAATTAGAATAATCAACGATATTTTAGCGAATATAGTTATATTACATGGTTATCTTAGATCATTGATTACTATTTTTTTTTATTTTACTGCAAAATGACAAGGTATATATTAAAAAGAAAAAAAAAAAATTGTGGTAAAATCCTAGTATACGATACGGCCTTCGCATGATTTTGAAAATTGTCGCCAAGAACAAAATGACCCGTTTACTGCTCATCATCATGTCGCCAAATCCCGCTGTACCATACATGGAGATTATTCTGACCAAAGAACGTCTATGTAAAAAGCGGAGGGAAAATTTGCCAAAGGATTTGACGACGGAATGGCCAGAATTTCCCTCTCCGCAATGTGTACAGGAAATTGAGAAACACATATTAATAAGAAACGTTCTTTGACAAAAAAGAAAACTATGAAAATCCGTTTTTAAATTATTGCGAAAAATCCAAGAAGAAACGTTTTATCAAAGAACGTTTTTTCTTGGATTTTTCACAATAGTTTTAAAAACGGATTTTCGTAGATATTTCCCCCCCCCTCAAAATAAGTAATCCATGAATTAATTTACTTGCACCAAAAAATATTTTTTTTTCCTTTAGAGTTTAAAGACATTTTAAACGATATTCATTTTATGAACTCTTGATAACGTGACCTTTGAATTTCGACACCGGTTTCGAGCTTTGGCGACAGATACGTATATCGCGCATGCACAGCTGTTTCCCGCTATGATGGAACCGAGCCACGTCTGTTGCAGAGAGGTTTTCCTTCTTTACAACACATTTTTTTTTTAATTCTAACCTTCATGGTACCGTATACTAGGATTAAACCCATTTTGTTTTATATACGAGAACAGGTACTTTCTTTAGTTCATGCACTGCACATGCGATTCTCGAGGTTACTGGAAACCAAAAGTTGCGGGAAACTTGCTTTGCCTTTCTAAAAGACAATCAAATCGGAGCTGCGAAAATTGGCTCTATGCCAGCTGCCCGAATGATACTCACATGATACACAATTCGCCAAAAAAGTGATCTCTTCCGACGTCGGCGCAAAACTCGCCTTTTTTGGCGGGATCGTTGTATGAAATTCCCTGACTTTTCCAGATTTTGACTAAAACACTTAAATTTCCTGACTTTTCCTGGTTTTCCAGGTAGCGCGGCAACCCTGTTACATCTTCTGCTGCATGTAACTTAGCTGTTTATTAGTTCAAAAACAGGCTTTTCGTTGCACCAACCCTCTATTGATGATGCAGCAGAAGATGCAAATTACATTTTTTGTTTTGGCATGTTTTACTCCCGTTTCCTGAAGTTTGCTACTGTGCTTCTATTTTTTGGTATTTGCATGCGATGTATGCTGGAATAAATATTTTGAGTGTTGTGGGAATAAATATTTTGAAGACTGTGTCACAACTTGGCTTCAAGAGAAGTGAAGCTGATCCATGCTTACATACATGAAACGCGAGGCAAAAAGCTAATCATATGCTGTGACATATGCTATGTAGATGATGGTTTGGCCACATAAACAGATCTACATGAATCTGAAAAGTTTCTTACAGTACTGAAGTTTAGATTCAGAATTACAACTAAACCAGCAGTAGTTTCTTAGACAAAAAATTAAGCATCTTGAATATGGAAGCATCAAAGTTAGATAGCAAACTTACGCAAGAAAAATTCTTAAAAAATTTGGGGTGGAAGACTGCAAACTAGTGTCAACTCGTATCTGAAAAGGAGTGTCTAACTGAAAAGAAAAAGGAAGATAAGCCAAACAGAGAAATTTTCTCTTACACAGAAGCTGTAGGAGCTTTAACATATTTTAGGTTAGGTACAAGACCAAGATTTAGCATACCGTTTTGGCATTCCTTCACATCATATTGAAAGTAATTTGAAAGACGATTGATTTGGTTTATTTGATTATGGTAAAGCATTCAAGAATTATCTGCCTAGGAGGGATGCCTTCATAGAGGTCTTTCTAATGGAATCTAGCTCATATACACATTGCATATGAGGAAAACCACAAAAACATCCATGCAGCTAGCCTGTTTCCTGGGATTCAAACTACTAGCATTCAGCGACTTTACTGCTAGGCCCGAAAGATGATTTGAGATAAAAAAAATTCTTAAAGTTGGGCAAATCTCTGCAGAAAGTTTGCCTCTGGTAACTAAAAGTTTTTGGTTTTATTTTATTTCACCTACAGGAATTTCACAGCTAATGTTAACTCAATACCTTTCTATCTGGAGGCATGTAATCCTTTGTATTCTGAAAGTTCATCTAAGTGCAGATTACAAATTTACTGAAAATCTAAGGAAGTTCTTCGATAAAAACAATACAGAAAATAGCAACAAATACTTTTCTTATTCACGAATAATATTTAAAAAATTACATGCTAAATCAATGTGAATGAGAAATTGAAAATGTACAAGTCTATATTTGGTGATGCTGGGCTGGTTTTAGGTATTTTGTTAAATTTTAAACATTCTTTGGAAAGATTTTGCTATTGGTGATCAAACTTACCATATTTAATAATTTATTCTGGCTTAGAATATTAGTAGCTAATTCTTTTCTTGTTTCTTGATAAATACACCTTGCACAAAAAAAGGGAGGATTCTATATCTCCCGTTCTATCGGGCCGAGGGACAAAATTTAACTTTTGTTCCTCATGTCTTAAAACAGCAACTTAGGATATATATTAGATTCATATATATATATAGCATTGTCCTAACATAGGTATTCTAACACTAAATTGGACTTTTCCTGAAATGACATACGTATACTGCCGCTAGATTATACTGCTTAGTGCCTTTCTTAAATTCTGCAATCGCTATTAACCGTTTGACTGCTACGCGGCGTAAAAGCGCTGCATTCATTTGTCTCAAAAACCGCGACGCAGTTAGTTATTTTAAAATGCACCTGTGTTACAAAGTATGCATAAGATCAGACTATGTATGCTCACACCCACGGTGCAACAAAGACACACTGAAACTCGCAACTCAAAAGTGCTGCATTGCGGTTTTTGAGACAAATAAACGCAGCGCTTTTGCGCCGCATAGCAGTCAAACGGTTAAATTCTGACACCAGATGCAGCCACACTGATTGTACCTATTCTGGCACTGGTACTGTAGGAGGTTAGCATTTTTATGTCTGAATTTAAAGAATGAATGAAGCCCTAGTGTTACTAGATCTACATGTCATCTAGCTAGACTTAAACTGTTGATCTGACAACTGGTAATTTACAAAATACGGAATCATCAAAGTTCCAACTATTCCAGATCTTATACTTCACATTATACAATATTTGACTGTACGAGAAATAACACTGCTTATTAATTTTCGATATTCAAAAAGTAATGAAAACAATTACTTAAATATTAGAAGGCTTTTTAAAGATATTTAAAAATGAATACCAAGAACTTGAGGAGTCTTTGTTTCTTCTTTTTCACTACCAGATGAAACGCTGACAGGCAGAACTTTATCTTCTTGCACAGCCGGTTCCCGAATTTCATTATTCAAAGGAAGTGTACTGTTTTCATCTTCAAAAATATTGAATGTAGAACTTTTGAATTCATTTGCTTTTTTATTTAACTGGCAAGATCTCAAGGGCCTCTTTTCAATGTATTTTTTAATACCCTGAAACAGTAACAAGTAGACATACAGTAATAATAGCATTTAGAGCTTCCAACATATGTTAATGATGCATGAATAACCATATCATCATAATGTAATAATGTAATCATAATGTAATAATATCATCATAATGTAATAATGTAATCATAATGTAATAATATCATCATAATGTAATAATGTAATCATAATGTAATAATATCATCATAATGTAAAAACTAATTGTTAAGAACTTACATTAATGATACATGATTTATGAATACTTTATCGAAAACATGAAAAACAACCAAATAAAATTTTAAAAAAAGGAGTGGTATGCTTTCATAATTAAAACTTTATACATAACATAAACTTGACTAGGTTATTAGCTATTATTAACATTCAAATACTCTCAGCAAACAATAAATTATGAGTAAGTCTTGCTGAAATTCATCTTTAAGTGCTTAGTGAAAAAAAAAAAAATTAAATGAAAATAAAGATGTTTAATAGCAAAGATTTTGTGTCATGGCAACAATACTTTAAAAATATCTTTTTAACATATCCATTTGCATATTTCTTGCAATATATAGCATCTAATGATTTGATATATTTAGCATAACTTTTAGAATATGCTATTTAACCATACAAGTAAAAACAAATTTTTCACCATAAGAAAAAAGATGATAAAAGAAATTCGATCTAAGTATTTAAAATAAAAGTTGAGATTTTTACACTTTAAAAAAAAAAAAAAAAAAAAAGTGTCAACTAGACTTCAAACTCGGAATACAGATAATGCGAAACAGATGGAACTATGAGATGGAACCTTGGAACTATGAGGTATGTTGCGGTATGATACAAAAAAGAGCATCCAGACTTTCACACTTAAAGTTTTGATCAGTTTTTTCATGTAACTATGAAAATCGGACTAAATTACTTTTGTAACCTTAATAAACTAATATTTTTAATTTCCTTCACCTGAATGACTAACTTTTTATGAAAATATTTCTACTTGATCCAGTAACAGTAAAACAGATCACTGACTCAAAGAGATTATATCCATTACTTTAAACCTTGCTTTACTTTCAATGAACACATTTTACTACTGGTACAATGTGTTAGTATCACAATTTTAGGCACAAACCCTGGTGAGGTTACCTGTGTCAAACAAATGGTTATAGCGAAACAGTTAAAGTCAAACGTTCCCAGTAATCCAAAAAGGAATGGAGAATCAAGAATAAAGAGTCAAGATAATCTGAAAGGCAACATGTAAAACAGAAAAGCAAAAATGAAGCAATTTTCACTGCAGTGGAGACTATGTCACAGATCAGAAAGATAAGACTGAAGCACTGTCTTATGGAAATAAAAAACATATGGAATATATATCAAAAGTTCTGTTCCATAAGAATAAAAATCTTATGGAAGAGAACTTTTGATATATATCCCATATGTTTTTTTATTCCCATAAGACAGTACTTCAGTCTTATCTTTCTGATGGATCTTATGGGAATAAATAAAAAACGCCAATGGTAGGGTAAGACCTTGAAAGAAAGGAGTAACTCGGAAAACAGACATAATAAAATATTAAATTACTGCCTGTACACAGCTATAATACAATTTTAACTGTGATAAAACTGATAATAAAAACAGTTCAAAATTTATGGTAAAAACTAGTATCTTAAAAATTGAAATAGTTTATAATGAGGTTCTCTTCCTATTAAGCTTTCTAAATCCGGATTGAAACAATTAAAATGCTTTAGGCAAAAATATTTAAAAGATTGACATTCTAGTAAAATATGATGAATTGTCAGAATTCCATTGCAATTAAAATTCATCATTGCATAACTTACTTTAATTGAAACTAAAAATAAACAAATTATAAAAACTTTCAGAAAGTTCAGAAGCTTTAAGAAAAAATTTACCAAGTGGGGAAAACTTGATAATTATAACTACCTAGTCTCTAGTTATTAAATTTTTTCGAAGTATAAATAAAAATACATATATTTGTATGAATAAAAATACACATATTTATCTCTATCATAGACAGTCAATGCTCAGCAGTGAGTCGTGTTCTTTCTTACTAATTTTCAACTATGGGGGGCAAAACGATTCATATATTTCCAAACAAAGCGATTACTCCTAGTCTAACTGAGCTTATTTATTTTTTGACAAGTACGAATAAAAGTTAATCCAGTATGTACTTTCAAATACTTGAATACGATTTATATCACACAATAAATTAATTAGCTTCATTTCTAGATTTTGTGGTGCATTATTAGCCCAAAGGGTGTTAGCCCAGAAGGCTATTAATTTCGTTTTGACATTTCGCATTGGTTTACTATAAATGTCTATAAATGCCACCAAATATTAGAGCCCTGCATTATATTTAAAGAAATTAAATCATGAAGAATCTGCATGAATGTATGAATGTTTCTCGTACTGTGATAAAACAACGGTACCAAGAGCCATCAAATTTTGAATCACGTAATCCTCCATCAAACATGGGCATCTAGAAGCCCAAATTTGGGATTTGTTTTATTATCAAGTTCATATTTTGTAAAACTTTAACGAATTTTTTATTGACAAACTAAACGATTTCAATGCAAACAATGGCAACACTGCATGGAAAAAAAAAAAAAAAACATTTTTATCTCCAGCATGCGAGAAAGTGTATCGTAAATTCTAAAGATATGCTCCTTTTAAAATTATTTTGCAATATTGCTGTTGAACTGAATTTTATGGTTTAGGTGCAAAGAACATGATATTTAATAAATAAAGGTAACATACAAAATGTCAAAAAAAAAAAAAAAAAAAAAAAAGCCCCTTTGGGCGTAATGTAAAATCTGAAGGCCTTTGGGCATAATGTAAAATCTTTCATATTTTAATTATTCGTCCAAAAGACTTTGTCCCTGGAGGACTATTGTTTTCGCTTTGCGATTTTGCATCGAATCACTATAAACGGCATATCACTTTTCAAATTGTTGCCACCAAATGCTAGAGTCCTGTATTATATTTGAAGAAATTAAATAATGAAGAATCTGCATAAATGTATGTCTATTTCTCACATTATGATAAAACAACGGTACATAAAGCCATCAAATTTTGAATGACGTAATCCTCCAACGAATATGAGCATGTGGAAGACCAAATTTGAAATTTTTTATGATCGATTTCCTATTTTGTAAAACTTTAACGAATTTTTGAATAACAAACTCAACGATTTAAAAGCGAGCAATGGCAACACTCTAAAGGAAAAAAAACTTTTTATCTCTAGCGCACGGAACTGTGTATTGGAAATTCTAAAGGTATGCTCATTTTAAAATTATTTTGAGACATTCCTATTGAAGTGAATTTTATGGTTTAAGTGCAAAGAACATGATATTTAATAAATAAAGGTAACACATACATCATTAAAAAAATGCCCCTTTGGATGTAATTTAACATCTGAAACCTTTAAGATTCTTTTGTTATATTTTATTTTTATTCATGTTTGCTTTCAATGCAAATGAAAATAATATAAACTCGGGCTTCATCTAAAAATCCTGAAATCTTTGCAATACCATAATTGAAATGGGTTTCACAGGTCATATACAATTGCTTTGGGGTCTGCATGTGGCCTGCTGGTCCAACACCTTTGGTATATGGACAGACTGGCCACTGAAGATGCTCTGGTGCAAATCTGAAGTGCTTGCCGATGTACAGGATCAAGTTTGGCCAACACAAAAGCCTTGCAGACTCATAAATAACTGATAGAGTAAAATTTTGAGTGGATATGGACTCCATAAATAAGAAGCATTGAGCGGTGAATGGTTCCGCAGGAGATATTCAACAAGACTTTCAAAATATTTAGAATTTTTAAACATTCCTTTTTAGAGAGGTGACATAGGGAAGGAAATAAAGCTTGTGGTCACCTAGGAATTGTACCTCCTTTCCCACAGGAACCTGTACATCCTCCAAATAATGTTCAGGTTAAGGATGAGGAATATTCTTGCAACAAAAGTGCATGTGCATGGTCTTCTAGGTAGAAAACCTGAAACCATTTAACTGTTCAATTCAAAGATGTTTGCAATGGTCTTTCAGCGCATTTCAGGTATGCTCCCTGACAACTAGCATGTAGGTTGTCAATGTAGAGCATTTCATGGACTGTTGGAGGAAGCTGTTTTAGGATCAAGTTCATTTCTAAGCTAAAAAAAGTTACACTTGGAATGCCACTTTGCAAAACACCCTCTTCTTGACTAAATACATCAGAAAGTAGAACTAATCTTCACGTGAAACTTTTGATCTTATATGAAATGTTTGATGAAAATCGGCAGATTATGTTGTAAGCCACTATTGTACAGGTCGTGAAATATGCCATACCTCCACATAGGCTTTTTCTCTTAAAAAAATATAAAAAGTGATTCTTCTTTATGAGTGCTTAACAGATACCAATTTCTACGAGCAGATTATCATCAATAGTTGCCCATCCTTTTCTAAATCCACTTTGATAAGGGGAGATCCAACTATTCATCTCTAAATAGTAGACAGGGTGAGTGTTGACGATATTTTTGAGCCTTTTGCAAAGACAACAAGTTAAAGTGATGAGGCGGTAACTAGAGGGATTCATTGGGTCTTTTCCTGCTTTGATCATTGAAATAACAAAAGCTCTCTTTTATGCATTGGAAAATACATGCTCTTTCCATACTGTATTGAAACAAAAGAGGAGGAATGCCAATGACATACAAGGAAGGTGTTTTAATATAGAATAACTAACAACATTAGGACAAGAACATGATCTACTTGCCTGTAACAAAGCTCTTTTCAGCTCAAGCATAGTTACATCTTCATTATAAAGTTCAGAAGTGGAAGAGTTGAAATCAGCAGTCTGTTTTACAAAGAGCAGTTTAACATGAAGAAATGCAGGGTGATAGTTACTACTATTTGATGTAGCTGAAAATGCCTCTCCGATGGTATTAGCAATTCTTTCCATGCTGCTTATTATATCCCCACTTAACTTTAAAATGGACAATGTGTGGCTCTGTACATACCAT